TGGAGACTTATAAGCGTCACATCGAGACGATTCTACCTTTCTTTAAAGACAAGGTGGTCTCCGTTGATGGAACGAACTCTCCGGCAGAAGTTCTGGCCGAGGCATGCCAGGCCATGGACCAGTTGGAATGGACAACCAGCGACCTGCCGTACTTTGGGAACGTGGCCTTTGCGGGTCCATTTTCAATCCAGCAGGCACGGCGAGCTGGCTTCTACTCGCCTGATAATCCACCGGAAGTGGGTGACCAGGTCGTATGTTTCCAACGTGGGGCAAACTGGCAGCGTCGTGGCCAGGTTGAGGACATCTCTGAGACCGTCAGTGAAGGCAGTGGGCTTCGCAAGGGGCATGAGGGGATGCTGGTGACCTTGTCAACAGGCACGGGCTCCTTCACCTGCTGGTCTGCATTCTTGGCGCCCGTCAACGACAAGGAATACTCATCCCTTTGTACTACACATGGACTGCTCTCCTCGCATTTTGCCAGTTTGTACCCGTGCAGCAAGGGTGTTGGAGATGTGGAGTTTGTTTCAAAGGAGGCTGCAAGATGGAGCCTGGAGAAGTGGCTGAGCAACCTTGAAGATGCTGACGGCGAGCCCTTTGAAATCGATGCTTCCAAGTTGCAGTCCTTGCTTGAGCTCTTCGACTCCCATCAAGATGCATCACTCTACTTGTATACTACGCATCAGAAGTTAGGCCAGAGGGTCACTCTGAACACCGGCCAGGACTACTCACTGTACTATCGCGCGCTTAACAATACACTGAACTGTGACGCACGAAGCAATCTGGAGAACGCCATGCCCCTGATTCAGCGCATGGTGTACCTTCTCCTCTACGATGAAGAGAATGGCTCCAAACGTATCCACGAAGGAGGTCGGGTGTGGAAGGGCGACACGCAGAGGCCCGTTCCATTAAACATGCAAAAGCTCAGGGAGGCAATGCGTCTGGACCGTTTTGTCCGCTTTCGCCAGTTCCAGAGCACAACGCGAGAAAAGACTTTGGCAGAGAAGTATCGTGCGAGGGAGGATGGCAAGGGCTACCTCTGGACCATCGACATCCCTCCAGGCTTCTGGGGAGCGCGAGATATCCAGGACCCTTATCCGTTGATGTGCGAAGTGACGAAGTGTTTCTCTCGAAGTTTTCCCCACCTTCGGTGTGGGGTTGTTAGATGTTGTTAGATTTTAAACTCAACTCTTCTCCTCGCCCTAAACGCTTCTCCTCGCCCGGTCTACTCCTAGAGACTCCCTGGAGTGCCCAACCCCGGAAACTCCCTGGAGTGCCCCAGAGACTCCCTGGAGTGCCCAACCCCAGAGACTGACTGAAACGGCCACCAGAGACTGGACCGCAGAGTCTCCCTGGAGTGCCCAACCTCAGAGACACCCTGAAATGCCCGACCCCAGAGGCTTCCTGGAGTGCCCAACCCCAGAGTCTCCCTGGAGTGCCCACAGGGGATGTTCGAAGTAAAATGGTTTTGTTGTCTTTTTTTCTAGTTGTGAGGCGAAACGTCGATCTAAGTCGGGACTGTCTCCCAACCTTCACAGGACATCTCCTGGAAGGAGAAGGAAAGCGAGACGCTCTTCCCGCCCTACTCTGCCTTCCGGGTTCAAAGCCTTGACGAGAGCGGCTGCCATCTGCTGGCCGTGGTTGCCTTGCCAAGAACAAAGTACTCGTATCGTTTGTCTGCTTTTTCCGCAACTTCTGTCGACACATTAGATTGAAAGTTTGATGCCTTGAATCAGCCATAACTCACCCTAATCTGCCGCAATTAGCCGCTGCCAGGATCGTCGAGCCGAGCTCTTCAGTCGAGCAGAGAGACACGGCCTGCGTGGATCAGCAGTGGAGCTTCTTGAGTACTAAGACTTCCGATTTCCTGCCTGGCGACGTGCCTGGTGTGGTAGATTGTGAGTGGAGACGATGAAGGTCGATCAATTGCAGTCTGACCCAGTTTCACTTGTACCATATATAGCCAAATCTAGCCTCGGACTAAATGAGCCTGGCAACGCATCCGCAAGACAGAGCTCTTTGATCCTTTGAGTTGCCATTCTCAGATTCCCAGTCCGAGGTCATCATGTTAATGACTCACTGCCTGATTGGCGATTTCGCTTCACATTCTATACACAGATTGGAGCCAGTTCACTGATCAGAGGTGGAGAAAGGTTGTGTAAGGACCAACGGCGTGAGATGTGAGATTCTCACTGCTGGTCTCACGAGCAAATATTCCAGAGCGTGTCCGTGCCCATGGTTTCTCCCAATATCAGGTTTAGAATCCAGTCTGCGTGCTTCTAGCTGAGCTCGTGAATGGCACGCACAGACACAAGTATCCATGCCAGAAGGGCCACTTCTCATGGTGAGGTACGGACTTCCTGTACATGATGGATGCTTACCAACTGCATATGTCCCGCTGCAAGAGCAGGCCCATTGCCTGAGAGTGCCGAGGGCTGGCTCAGTTGTGTGCAAGTTGTGAGTGATGCACAGCATCTCCGATGCTGAATATCTAAGAATTGTATCTGTTACAAGTCATTGGAAATCCTCCTCTGCCTCCGAATGGAGAGGAATGCAATGCCGCTGGCAGCTGTCTTGCAGGGTGCGGGACCTCACCTTTGCCCGGGAGGCCACCAACAACCCCGACCCCTCATGTGTCTCGTAGCTGCTCAAGGGTTGCGAGTGCTTTTGATGGCAGGCAACCATCACCCCGTGGCTCCTCCGGGAGCCACGCCCTACCAGATGGCCTCACACGCTTCGTCATCCTTGTTCGTTGTGCGGATGAAGGCCCAGATGCGGCTTGTTGACGCATGTTGACGCATCTGTGTTAGGATGAGGACACAGTGGAGGAACTCTAGACTCTAGACTCCATGTTGTGTGTCGCTTTTTCGTAGACAGGAGTTGTCGATTCCAAGCGTCGTGGCGATCACTGGCAACGCAATCGGCGGAGGAGTGGCCGTGTGAAGTGCTCAGTCTCTGGGCACATGTGACCTGTACCAGTCACTTGCGAATGCTTCACGAATGTTCACTGTCCCTGGCTCCTCTTCTACTGATTCTACTGACCTCATTGGCATGAGTGCTGCCACGACACTAGCCTTCAGCCTTTGGGCCGTGTGACATCGCAGCTCTCCTGTCTCAGAGCCGAATTGTAAGATGTTGCATCGAGCTCTTGTTGGATTCAAACGTTGCAGGGAAGTTGTGTGGACGCTGAGCTCGCATGTGGTAGCTAAGTCAGTGGTAATCAGCGGTGGGATCTGCTTGCCCCCAACTTCTCCACCGAGGTCGCTCAACTGCACGGAGCGTGTGATTGCCCAGAATGGCAGCGCAGCCTTCGGCAACATCAGCCGAGGCCTCCAAGTAGGCGTTGGCTTCAGAGACCTTCGTAGCTTGCAAGCTCTGGTATATCCTGATCCAGAGTTTTCACATTCTCACACCCGGAAGATGCTAAGTTTCATTAGATGTTAAGTTCCATTACGCATTGTCAAGTTGTTAAATGGTGCAATGTCCTGCTTTGCTCATGATGTTGACATGTTTCCCTATGCAACACGATGCAAAAAACCAAGATCATCGCTAAATCATGTGCGCCCGTGGGCCAGGTGCGTGTCCGATCATGTTTCTGTCGAAGCACCTCCCGCAACATGTAGGGCTTACGGCTGCGTGACTCGCCTCTGAAGGGAAGGATTCGTAGATTGGCTTTGGGTGGTTTGGGTGATTTGGGTGATTTGGGTGATTTGGGTGAATTGGGTGATTTGAGGGATTTGGGTGGTTTGGTGATTTGGGTGATTTGGGTGATTGGTCCATTGGTACTGCAACAAAGCTGATGCTTGGCTTCATCCTACCGGACGCCTCACATCAGACATTCTTGCGGTATGACTGGAGATTAAGCTCCTTACGTGCGGCCGCCGCAAAAGATAGTTGCTTTACGTGGGCAGTTCCTGTGGTTGGCGAACTGCCGGGGGGCAGAGTCTGACTGCACTGGCTCAGGATGGACATCTACCTCACTGACTCTACAGTTAGTGCCGTTGCTGTTCAGAAGGCCGGAGCTCTTCGATGCTTGTGGCGGATTGAGGTTTTCTCTTGTCGCTTGGAATGGTTGCCGTGTTGGGCAAGAATTTTGCGTGAACACCTGGAGGGACTGGATTCCGACTTGGGGGTTCCGATGGCTTAGATGTTCTGCTCAAAACGCCGGGAGGCTGGAATGGCAGCTCGTATCGGTGCCGACAATAAGCTGCTTGCCTGCATCAGCTGTCACACGGTGTTCTCACTCTCCGTTAGACCCAAGTTATGCGCCAGGACAACAAAGGCAACTGCCTTGGCGCTTGTCAGCAGCTCAGCACAGAGAGCCCTGGATCCCTCGTCCTTTGTTGGGGGTGGGGCAAGTGGGGCAAGTGGGGCAAGTGGGTAAGTTGGGGAGCCATTCTAGAAGTGCTTGGAGGGCGAAGATCTACAGTAGGCCACGGGGACGAGTTCGGAAGATTTTTTGGCGGCGAAAGATGCTTGTCGGGGTTGCCCACCAAAGGGCAAGACGAGTTCCGAGGCGAAGACCGAAGACTAGTTTGAATCGATTATGTACAGCATGGTTCCATCTCAGTGTGTGGAGTCCCTGATTAGGAAGTATCCGAGGCGATTTGTGGGCACCAGACTTCAAAGACCCGAGATCTCTGCCCAAGTGAAAAAGAGACACAATCCGAAGTGTTGCTACATACATTTTTGGGGCCTGCGATATTTTTGGGGCCAGTCAGAAGAGGTGAAGACGATTGGCGGTGGGAGTGAACAGGAATCTGTAAAACAGCTTCAGACAGAAGCGCCAACAGTGAAAGAACGTGAAGCCTTCAAGCATCTACGCAGCGGAAACAGTCCTTCAAGATTAGGTTTCATCGAGCAAAAGAGCAAAAGAGGCTCTGGGCGAAGAGGAATGTCCGAAGAGAGCTTCAACATAAATAGACTTCGACATATCGGCTTCAACTCTTCACTAATCAGAGAAAGAGTCTCGAGCAAGCGAGCGCTTAAGTGGGGGAAGTGGCGAAGCTGGACCCCCCTCTGTCGGCGTGTCCCTGCGTGATTTTTTTCTGCCAGGCACGCAAGATGGCCTCGTTTCCCACTGCGCGCTTGGCCGTGACGGTGCAGCCATCCCTGTCGGCCCACACCTTGGGGAATCATTCGGTGAAGCCCGTTGCTGTTCAATGTCGCTGCATCGCAAGAAGTGGGTTGCGCTCACTTGAAACGATTCTATTCCCTGCTCGCCGGGCCTCCTAGAGAACTTTCAGAAAGTCACAAAACCTCCAGAGGATCCCACTCATCCTTGCAGTGCCCATCTCAAAATAACAACAAGTCATATCTGACTACTCAGATCCAACGCTACGACGATGAGGCCTGTTTGCCAGTGGTGTGTTCCTATGCCATGAGTGGATGTGTCTCTAACTCAGTTTTGTGCCTAAATCCGACCATATTATATTGTTTGGGACTTCAGCTGCTTCCGCTTTACCCCATGCCCTGAGCCTTACATGTCTTTCCTGGCCTGGAGAAGACAGAAGTCTGTCCGCAGGCGTATGGCATTTACACCTGCAGCCGGACGGGTCAGATGATATTTCCTGGCCTGTGGCTCGGGTTGCTGTCCAGTGCTAGCATTGTGGATGGTTCTTTAAGACAAAGTGCACGATGCAGGCTCGAAGGACAGCATGTCTGTGTGCGCACGTATGCGTGAGCAAGCTTGCGCACAGCCATACATGTGCAGACAGGCGCAGACGCACCTTCTTGAAGCCAAGTTCAGCTGTTAAACCAACACGCATGTTGCAGCCTGCGTGGTTGGCAAGTCAAGTTTCTAGGCTCCTGCTCATTGGGCCAGAACATTGCAAATCGCATGCATTGCTTCCTTAGCTTTTGCAGCATGCCCACTTCAAGCGTGATCCCAACCAGTCAGCAAAGCTTGAAGTTCCTCAGCAAAAGTCGCAAAAGCACCACAGCCGAGGGCAGAAGAGAAATGATTGAGCTGAGCTGCTTTGTTGTACATACAGCCCGGGGCCCAGCAGCTACCCGAAGTTGTCTCCTCATGAGAGTAAGCCGCGAATGAACAGTCTTGACGGTGATGTGTGATGGCTTGAATGATGTCTGCGATGAACTCGGCTGTCCACTGCTTAGACAGTGAATGAGAGACACGTGAATCATAGCTTCGAGGTGATGCCATGACTAGGGGTGCCGCTTCGCCAGGAAGGCTCGAGATCACATCAGGGACAAAGCCACGGTCATGAGCACAGAGCCTTTGTGCCTCATGGCAGAGCTGAAGCGTTTCGCGCATCTGCAGCTGCTAGCAGCTGCTAGCACCACCTCGAGCAACTCGAGCAACTCAGAGAGGAATTCTGGGGCTCACGTGGAACAGTGTGTCATGGCGCCCTCATGTTCCTTCAGCTTCGTCAACTCACCACGATGTGCGTTGCACCTGGACTACACCGGGATGCGGAGTTGAAGTCCGGCGAAAGGAACTATGATGACCAAGCCCGGACACTGAATTTCTCTACGGTCCAGGTCTTCGGTTCTCCTACTCCTTGCTTGAAAGATGACTGGCAAGTGAGCTGCCCAGAGGACAGAGCATGGAGATACTGTGCATTGCTGGAGTTCTATGCTCTCGTGATGAGTGTGGCTTCTCTGCCAGTCTGCAAGGAGAATGCTAGAACATACCAGAATATGCCGGGGACTGATTTTGCAGACGTTGCATGACTTTGAAATCCACAGCAGTAGGTTGCATCTTGCCCATTCTGGGAAAGATGCAATTGATGATGAGGAGATTCTACGCGAGTGTGAAGTTCAGTGCGAGAGTTGGTGGTTGCCAGCAGCTGCATGAGTGCACCATGGATTTGCAAATGGCGTTCGGCTTGAACTCACTGAGAAGAACAAGCGCAAGAGGAAGGACGACCCGACAATGCCGAAGAAGACGATGCAGAAATCCTGCAAGAGCTTCAGTGCGGGCAATCAGGCATGTTGACGCCATTCAGAACTGGGTGAACCGGTATCTGCAAGACAAGGCGTTGTGGCGTGATGTCGTGTTCAGCCACCACTCGTGTTGAAGAAGACGTGACAGTGTCATGAAACCTGTGCGATCTTCGTGGTCGGTGTGTTTTTCAGTTGAAGAAAGAAGGAGTCTGAATGCTCGAAAACTGTGGTTGCAACATTTGCGACCTTCTGGAGAAGCCGGCCGACAAGAAAAGGAATTGTCAGCGTTCAGGACTTTTTGTTGACCACAGGTGTCCGTTGTTAGCTAGCTGCCGCTACAAAGGGCAGGAATGCACGAGTGACGGAGGCCTTCTTTGCAGGACTAAGCCCAAAACTCTGCGCTTCCTAGAGTGAGCCCCATTGTCACCCAATGCCACTTAAGTGATTAAACCGGTGCTGGGTTTCACAATCTGAGCACTACTATATGCATTACTCTTTTGCTGACTCAGCCAAGAACTCTGCGAACTTGACCGCTTGCAGGTCAGCGCTCGCGAAGCACGTGAACGATCGCTCTTTCGTGTTTCAGACCATCGAGTGTTAATCCTAGGTTTGACCGCAGTGAAAGAAATTGTGAAGACATGACTCCGTGTCCTTCTTTCTCGTAGACTTCAAAAGGTGTCGCAGGAATGCGCAGAGCCACAGCGAGAGAAAATTGAGGATCCTCTTGCTCTCTTGCGCGTTTGCTGCAGAGTAATCAGAATGAGCATGCAGGTACACGTGCAGTATGAATGCAGTATGAACCAAGGAGGCCCATTCAAACCCGTGCAGCTCCGAATGATGAGTGGCATGCCGCATGCATTTCTTCCTAGCACATGCCATCGCACCAAGCTTTTTCCAGCTCAGTACGACAAATGCAATACATGCTCCAAGGAATAGTGGCAGCTGTCTCAGGTTTGTTGCTCGCCCTCGCTCCAGGATCTTATTCGTTATGAGGTTGAGTGCCTGGCCATCAATGCAAGCCGCCCGAGCTTCAGGGCACAGCATCTTGTGCAATCCGGCAGCCATCCGGCAATCACGATGGAAGCATCGACGAACTCTGCGCGTACATCGTACAAATGGTTCCTTGCAAAGTGCAACCAGGATTCCGAAGTTGCGCTGGGTTTTGCCTGTGGCGTTCGCACCAAGCAGCAAATCAATGCATCCACACAGGCATGATTTCCACCAAGTTGGCGAAACCTCGTAGTGGAGTAGCAAAGGCTACGGCTGTTACATGCGCAAGCACTACCGGCGCGATGGCCCCTGAATTCCTTGGATGATGCCAGGGAAGAAAGGACGATAGGTGAAAAGCGGTCGGTCCGGCAGTTCGGGATTGATCAATGCAGTCCAAAAAGTGACGTCAACACAAGCTTCATTTGTCCAGCACCAGCTGGACAGCTCCTAACCAGTCGGGAAACCAAACATTGCTGTGCCCGTCAAAAGCTGCACGTTGGTCACCAAACTTCATGGATGCAACATGCCAGAATGCGGCACGTTCCACTTCCTGACCCAAAAAAATGTTGCCAAGTCCGCGCTGGATACGACTGCGCCATGCAAAAAATCTGACTGGACTGGGATTGCGCAGGACATAAACATCTTCAGTCGCGCAAAATGATCACTGGGAAATTGGTCAGCTGGGCAAAAGCTTTGCGGCAATTCAACACAGCAAGGTGCCAAACAATCCTGACGCGTCGGAACCGCGTACGCCAGTGTTTGGTCGTATCTCAATGAGAAGCAGGGGCAGACACGTGTCTGTTTATGCCTGCGGGGTGGGGGTGGGGGTGGAGGTGGGATGAGGCGGACGGGACAAGGTGTGTCCAACCGGGGCGAGCAGGGTGGAGGCCGAAGCAATAGCGGCAGACATAATGTGCAGCACTCGGCGGGGAGGCGGTGGCACAACGCGACATGGTATAGAGGCGGAGCCATGGGGTGCAATCATTTCATGTCATGCAGTTGGGCAGACGGGGAAATTATGGCTGACGCCGCCTCCATCTGAGCTTTCGGAATCCGGCCAGGATGGGATGCGAAAGCTGGAGAACGCATGGGCGAGGCAACTGAAACAATTGTTATTGTCCAGGAAATGAAGAAGAGGTGCTGCGTCGCCATGAAAGGATTTGAAAGCTCCGAAGCTGCCTTGCGAAACTCCAAAAGTTCTGTGCAAGACTGTCTTGCCTTCGATGTCTGTCCTGCGATGTCCTGCGATCCCATTGACGCGAGGAGTTGCGTGCATGCGAGTTGCAAACGCCAGCAGACTTAGCACTGATCCGGTTTTCAACACGGGCAAGGTAGCGTGGTAGTCGTCGGGGCGTGTCCCCTCTCCCACATGCAAGCCGACGTCGTGCTGTGTTTTGTGCAGCCCATCTGCCCGACGACGATGCCTACTGCCCAGTGCTAGGCCCGCACTGCCTCGACCGCCATGCAGGCGCTCTATGCTGTGCTCAGAATGTTTCAGTTGAACTCGAACGAGCGAACACCCGGCGGCAAGCGCGGCAAAACGGCCAGAGAAGGGGCGGGGCAGCAATGCCACAGCATGATCTGGCGCGTTCAACCCCGACCGCTCCGTGGCAGCCACTATTAGAACATGGGTAAAATATGAAAATGCGGACGTCAAAATACCATGTATGTAAAATATGATGGATGCGAGATGAAGTTCCGCTCTTGCTCGTTTATGTCTTCGCCACAAGGCTGCACTTTGCGTATATGCAGGTTTCAGGCTCTCCCCCATGTGACGCTAGGACAGCGCCAGGGTGGCGCTAGGTATTCCTTTCCAAAGCTGACATGGTATGAGCTGAGGATGCTGATGCTTGCTTGCGAAACGCGAGCTCCAGTAGTTGCGAACACGACGCCCGAGTCTTAAAACGAAGGTGCTAGTGTGTTTTGCGAGGTTTTTGCATAGGGTGCAAAAATTAGTACTATACTTCTGTACTTGCCAAAGCCAACGTTCCAGACTTTCGTTATCCAATTCGTCATAAGTCGGCACCATGATTTATCAGCATCCACTGTTCCTGGAAGAAGGAGTATTGACAGCCGCCCTCAGAAAATGACGGCCAACAAAGCAATGCGGGCAATGACACTGCTCGGTTTGCGAAATATGCCCAGTATACATTACAGTACTTTGTCGCTTGCCGCGAACACAAGCAGAACCTCCCCCAATACCTTTCGCCAACGCTAGCCCAAAGGAATCGTTTCCGTTCTCAGACGAATGCATGTGGTCATCAACCAGCCGATAGCTTCCCCTTGGGCAATGTTACCACGGCAGTATCAGCAAACCAGAGGCACGACGTCACATGCAGAGGGCTGCCCGCCGGAAAAAGACGGCGCGTGCTTTCCCGCACGCACGCGGGCTGGCATGCACATGTGCCCGCGTATCGGATGTTGTGCGTCGCCCGCGTCTGCGATGTTCCCGCAAGCACGTTGCTCCACCGATCCTCACCGTGGTTGGCGAGTACAGGGGAAGCATCCCACCGGGCCCGTCTGACCCCGAGCGGCTCTGCCTCCAACGCCCTCCGCGCTTTCGCGGGGTTGCTTATGGTGCCACGCAGAGACGCTGTCGGACACGCTTCTAGCGCGACCACACCCGTCGCGATGCCACTTGCTTCCCCGCACGCCGCGCCGTTCTGCATGCTTTGGTGCAGATGCAACTGGCTCCCGCGCAGCCTTCAAGCTTGGTTGACTAACGGACCGAGGTCGCGGCGCCGAGGAGGCGGTTTCTAGCCTCGTCCCATCCCTCGCTGGCAGGACGAACGCCGTTCCGGGCGACTGTGATTCGCGGCTGCTGGTGCTCGTTCTCCCCGTGGCGGGCGGCAGCTGACCGAGACGGCGCGAGCGGCGTGGCGTGCTGGGCCCGCCTCCACACTTCGAAGACTTGGCTGCGACGTTGCGAGAAGCGCCCCTCATCGCTCCCCCTGACCTGGCCCGCCAGCCGAATGTGGCATTGCTTCCAACAACGGGAAGACGCGCGCAAACAGCCGCGACGAAGGCCCGCCTTTTCCGGGTCTAGCATTGTAGTTGCACTTTGGCGTGGGCAGCGGATGCGGACGCAGTGGGCTCCTGCACCAGCTGCCTCGGCTCCCCGACTTGCAGTGCGCGTGGCTCCTCTTCGTGACGTGCGGAGCGCCGCAAGCTAACAATGCGTTGCGGACTATCCCCACACACGCCGTGGCCACTTCGGCCCAGGCGCATGACGATGCCATTTGGGAGACTCGGCAACTGTGTCTCGTGCGACATCGCCCTGGCAGATGTTGAAAACGCAAGAGGCATGAGAGAGACGAGTCCTTGAACGAGAACTGAAAGTGAGACAATATGTACATGATCAAACACAAACATCAAGGAATGCGACGTGAACCAACCATCAAACCAACCATTCCGACATGAGTTAAGCAAACATGACAATGTCAAGGCCCTACTAACATTCAGACGCACATGAACTGTGTGAAAGCGCCATTCAGGAAGTGCACTCACATCTCACACGCCGCAGCGGCAAGGCATACATGAGCCACAAATGCAACATTGCGTGCGATACTGCGTGTGGCATTGACATGGGGCTCCGCTGAACAATGTGTCCAGGGACAACACGTTGCGCATGTGACGGCGCCATCGCTGGCGCGCTTGATTGTGCGCAATGCATTTCAACAGAGCATGCTGGAGTGAGTCAGTGGCGGAAGCACAACATCGACGAGGTCGCTGCAGGTTCACACCACGATGGCGCGCAGAGCGGCCATCCGAAAAGTCATGATGCCCACAACGAGCCAAACCCCAGACGCAAGCTGCATGGAGGTGTGGACGTGGTTGCCACGCTTGCTGTGTTGGCCAGCAGGCACACCCAATGCAGCCGTTTTGGGTGAAGTCGGTTGGGACCCATTCGCGGTGCAAGTCCTGCGTGGGCAAGCCAGTTTGCTTGGTCGCCTTTCTTCGGCCACCCCTGGTGGCATGCACCGTGGTCTTGCTGCTCGGGTCTTTCGCTACGCTGTTGGCGTGCCAAGTTCTTGGGCAGCTGGAGCTTCTCGAGCCTTGAATTCGGCAGGCGTGACGTTGCCTCATGAATTTGGCTTGGGTCCCGGCAGCAACCTCCGCGTTTTGCAGCGTTGGAGGCATCGTTGTGTGCGCCCAGTCCTCGACCGCGTCGGTTGGCGTGTGCGCCAGGTTGAGGCATCTGAACTTGCATCGCTGGCCACTTGTATATACGTTTTCTTCTTGCTGCTCTCAGCAGCTCGTGCTCCGCCGCCGCCTGCGCATGCCACTCCCCTTCTGCCACGGCAGATGCGGCCCGGCACCCGGCTGTGGGGCGCAAGTAGACCGCCTCGGCGACCACCCGCTCGCGTGCCCGCGAACCGGCCTGCTCGCCCGACGCGCCAGGTCGTCGAGCGCGCATGGGTCCGCGTCGCGCGCGAAGCCGTCGGTGCCGAAGGGCAGGTGGTGGCACAACAATGGCTTGTGCACACCACGGCGCCCGGAGTGCGCACGGAGGACAGACACCGCCTAGACGTGGTCATTTACAAGGCGACGCCTAACGGATCCGCGCTATGCTGCGATGCGACGCTGGTATCACCACTTACATCCACTATCATCCACTTACACGCACGGGGCAACCACAGCCATGCACGGCCGACGTCGACGGCGCTCCGCCCCGCAGAGCGACGCAAGGCGGCCACCTACCCGGAGCTCCGGCGCCAAGGGCCGCAGAAGCTCCTGGTGCTTGGCAACGAGGTCGGAGGGCAGCATCATACTGTCGCGGAAATGTTGGTTGCGAGTGCGCGACGCATGACTCGGACCTCAAACAACCGCGTTCGGTCAGTAGTGAAAAGCAACGAACAGACGTATCGCACTTATGGCGGCATGAAACTGCCAGCCATGTGGCCAGTCATCCGGGCCGGTGTGTTCCGGCTCCTTGGAGGATCTCTCTCGCCAGCTTGGGCAGGCTTCCCAGCCTTCGGCTCGTAGGAGCTCACGGGCTTCGGCAGCAGCGCGCAGGCTGGGGGCATTGTCATCGCGGTCGGCAAACTCAGGCAGCCGGGCGTGGATCACCGGCAAAGCATCTTGCATGCCGGCCCAGTATGTTGCGGGGCTCGTGTGCTCCGCCGATTGCAGTCCAGGCCGCCGAAGTGCGCATGCGGAGCTTCTGGCTCATCCGCACCCCCAATACATTGCTTGAGGGTATGCCAGACGGCTCGATCATCGGCGCGGGCAAAGGCGAGGATCTCCTGCGGCGGCACCGTGCGAAGGGCGTGGTTGGCACGGGGGGAGGCACGAAGCAGCAGGAGCAGCCATGAGCATTGCAGGCCCGGCAGCTTTGGCAGCTGGCGGAGTAGCTGCTCCTCGTCCTCGAGGCGGCGAGTTTGCCCAGGCAGGGGTGCCCAGAACGATGATGCCGCGCTGATCGGAACGCAGGTCACCTCGCCAGACTTCATCACCGAGCGAGCGCCCATCACTCGTGTTTTGCTTAATATTTTTTTGCCTAAATTGGACCCGATGCCACAGTGGTCGGCTACGGCCTCAACAGTGGTGTCCAACGACGTCCTGGCGCGCGGGGGCGTCGTGGTGATGTAGAGGACGCCCGACGCCTCGCATGTCGCTGCTCCGAACGCCGTGCACGTGGCCGTGGCCGTGGCCGGCGCGGTGGGCGGGGACGGGGGCGTGGACGGTCTGGCCGCGAGCACGCTTCTCCCCCGTCCATCCCGGCTGTAGCCCAAGCCGACGCTCCTCAGCTTCCAGCCGAGCCCTCCGCACCTGCCACTGTCCCCCCCGCTGCGCCTGAACGTCGTGCCCTGTCCGCCGAAGCAGCGTTTCGAGTAGGGCTTGAAAGTTCGGACGACGTCGACCTCGAGGCCACCCTGCGCAGGCGTGTCTTGACGCACCACACCGGCATCGCCGGGCCGTGACAGGCAGCAGTTGCAACCCCCGGCTGAAAGTGTTGCTTGTCCAAGGCATGCCAGGCTGAGACGATGCTTGGGTTGATGTGATGCTATCCTTGGATGGCAAGGTTGTGTCAAAAACACTTGCGGGACTTTCGGACAGCTCTGTTCAGTGCCTTTCCAAGTCCTACCAAAGAGTCACATCACTTGTGGGATTATGCACTTAGGACGTCGGCCCTTCAAGATGCCGCAACTTGTTGTCACATGTTTCAGGATGATGTGACCAATGCCCCAGCCTCACTCACCGTTGTGTCTGTTACGACGTCGTCCGTCCGCTCCCTGATTGATGACTGGGCTGTGGCGTGCCGGGCAACATGCCACAAGCTGAAGCAAACCCCGAAGCGGAGGAAGTGGCCTCGCCGCATGCAAGCTGTTCAAGTAGCTGCTGCCCTGTCCGGGCCCCGAGTCCAACCCGCTCCGCAAGACCACACAAACCTTTGATGCTGTCAAAGGGTTTGTCTTCAATTTTGGCTTTTCTGGTGGTGTGAATCCTGCTGGAAATGCTCTCGCCGCTGGCACATGGTGGTGCATGGCAGCGTACTTGCAGTTCCTTGGAGCTCAATGGGGATTTGCCCCAGGATGTCGACGACCGGCCGTTGGAGTGCTGAAGCCGTTGAGTTTGCCCGCCAGCTTGCACGCTCGCACTCCCGTGCTGCGCCGGTATCCGCCCGCGCTGCTTGCATCTCCGCCTACGTGCAGCGTTGGTCTGCTCTCCTCTCCTTCGCAGCCACACGAGCCTTCTGTGCAAGCCTGCTCTCCCTGCCCCTCCACAGCGCCTCCAACATCGATTGGGACATCCCGTGTGGATTTGTGGATTCACATGTCCTGCTTGGAGTCTCCTTGGGGGCCCAATTTGATGGGACATCCCGCTTGCCATGTCCTTCCAAAATGCATATGCTGTTGACTGAGCTGTCGTCTGCAGGCTTTCCAATGCATGCGCTCCTTCTTTGCCTTTCGTACACGGTTAATACCGTCGGCATCCCATGCGATCGAACTCACAGTTCAAGTTCCCTTTTTCGAAAACAGGTCAATGGGCCTTGCTCAAGAAGATCCTGAGGTGCTACGCAGTACCTCGGGTCGTCTTGACCGAGATTTTGCGGCTGGCTGAAAACGAACCGGCGTCCTGGTCAGCCAGCGTGCTGCGCAAAGAGCAGCAACTGGGACTACCAGTGCTCGGTATTGAGACCTCGGTCCTTTCTATCAAGCATATCAAGGCTAAGTTGCACTATCACGCTGTGACAGTTGTCCTTCCTGCTGTCCGCGCGCGTGAGCAGGCAAATTGGCACTCCTGTTCAAAAGCCATCCAGCACTGGTTAGGCTACTCGAAGCTGAGTTGGACGTGGCAGAACGCGGGATTCGCATCTCCGATGCCCAAGCTTGGGCTCAGCTTAAACTTCAAGCTGCTCTTGGGCCTGCTGCTCCATGCAGATTTTGTTCCACGAACCTCTTGGATGATATCGAGCATTAGTTTTTTGACTGTGATGTGGCACTGCGCTGATGCTCGGAGGTCAGTCGGCAGCAATCGGAATGATGCTTGGAGTGTCACTCGATGGGTGCGGGCGTCAGGCGAGCTCCTACGACACCTGGACAAGCGCTGAGAAACCAGGGGTGCGCTCTTCCCTAGACAGTCTTGCCAGCGCGTCACTCATGGTTGCATGATTTTTTTTGGTTTTGGGCCTTGAGGTTGGCGGGCGCTGGAGCCGCCAGGCCGCCCTGTTTGTCAGGCTGCTTGCTCGATGCCGGGCCCGAGCCGCTCCTGCTGCGTCACGGGCAGCGTGCACTTCCGCGTTTGCGCTGCGCTGGTCGGCACTCCTCGCCTTTGCAGCCGCCCGTTCTTTTGCAGCCCTCCTTTCCCTTCCTGTCTCCGGCACAGCAAACGTTGATGGAGAATCGCCTCTCGTCAGCGACATCGTTGCTGACTCAGCCGAGCAGTAACTCCTTAAGACAGACCAGCTTGAAAATACACGATCCGCCTTCTCTCTTCCATGCACGGGCCTTCGCCAATCCCAATCCTGTTGGGGTTGTGTGAGGGGTCTTGCGCTGGCTGCGATGCTTGGCTGCCGGGGATCGTTTCGGACAGACATGGGCACTGGTCTTGTCACACCCTGGCAAGTCCGTTCGTCCCTGCCTTTTCCGCTTAGTGCTGCCTGCAGTAGGCTAGGCCTCCGACCTTGATCATTGGCCCATCTCGCGGGAACAAAAAAAAACTTGGCATCACCGTCGAGCCGCGGCCGGCCAAGTGCATGAGAAATAGGGCCCAGTTGGGTCATCAAGCCTGCCTGCTCATCCACTGCCACCGCCTCGCATGGGCTGTTACACGCGCAAGAACAACTCCGGATCGCCAGCGTCCCGCTCAATGTCGGGCGCCGCCTCCCTCCCCACCTCCCACCGCATCCCAATGGGGCATGGTCCCCAGTGCCTGGAGAAACGCCTCAGCCTGTGAGACCGCCAAGCCAGCACCAGGTCCTCCAGGCCCAAGCTGCCAGCGTGGCCACGTGCACAGTGCCAGCAGCAATTTTTTTCTCCAACGCAGCCAGCGGTCGTGGGGGCGGCGCGAGTCAGGACCGGCGGAAGGGCCCAGCCTCGCGTACTGGACCGTGGCGGAAAAAGGTGCGAAGAAAAGATGTGCTCCAGATGTCCTGCGCCGGAAGCAAGCCGCCGGCTGGGCCCATGGTCACATGCCAGGTCCAGCGCATCCAACGGCAGCCCCCCATCATGGACGTTGCTGGCCAAGGGCTGCCCAAGGCCGTACTCCCGCATCCGATACCACCCACGCCACCTTGCTGTTCATGTTGTTCTGGACATTGAAGTCGGTGGCCATTGGAGCTGCGAGGCGGCATCGTTCACCCGTTTCCATTTTCCGAGCGGCATGCACATCCGCCTTCGCGCTCCGTTGGTAAGCGCCTCTCAATTTTTTGCAGCGGTTTGGTCCTTCGCGGTCAGCCTTCTTGCTTTGCCCCTGGCCGGGAATTTCAGCGCCTGAAGCAAAACAAGAAGCTGAGAGCCATTTGAAGTATGAGTCAGGGACCACGGCCCCTAGGAGGGCCCCAGGATTGAAACATACGGCAAATAAAAAAAAACTTCTCAAGGCCGAAAAACCTTCCCTGGACGTGTGCCCTTCAATATCCTTTCGTTTTTTTTTTGCTTTGGTTTTCAAGACCGCAAGCGCTCCGAAGCATCCATAAAGCCAATGCCCGCATGCTTGCAACTCAGTTTTGCCAATAGCCGAAGGTCTTGTGGATTCGGTTCGTGGTAAGCATGAGCTCCGGTGTTGCAAAAGTGACGTGCGAGTGGGAGCATCGGGCGCACATTGGCTCAAGCAAACCAGGGTTGTGCATCCCTTCGCTGCGCGGCCTTTATGCCCGCGCTATGGCCTTGCAATTGCACATTCGACCGCTGAGCGGGAATACGCTGACGTTGCAAGACAGGAGTTAGTCTCGTTTGTTGAGAAGTTTGTGCACGTGCATGTTGTTGCAGATGGTCTAGTTCTGTTTTCGCATCGAAGGCTAACAGCAAGCTCGGCGGAGACCGTCGCCAGCTTGACCACCAGGGTACGTGCCATGTGCGGTGATGCCGCTAAGATGCACAGTTCTGATCGTTCAGGGAGCATCGAGCCTTTGCCGCGCTGCCCAGGTGGCTGGTGAAGGATCAGCTTTTCGACTGTGTTTGGTTTCAGGCCTCACCCAGGCATGCTTACACAGTGTTGTGGACGATTGGTCTACATTGATTTCACGTGTTTTCTCCGGACTTTCTTTGCAGACATTGTTCAAACCCAGTATGTGAGGAAAAGGCAAATGTAAATGCCTTGTGGGGGTACGCGGCGGAAGCAAAATTAAATTTTGCAGGACAGAGTTGTACATGCTTGCCAGGGGATCGCTTGACTGTGCTGGATGAGTCCAGTTCCCTCACGGCTTCTGGTACCTCAGCTGGATGGGCAACTGGGTTTCTTCTGTTCTCGTGAATTGGCTAAGGCTTGCCCAGCGTGTAAGGCAACACATTAGGGTCTCAGCATGCAAGGCGTTCCCGACGGAGCGATGTTGCTGGCGAGAAGCCGCTTGCCAGTTTGATTGTGCTTCAAACTCTCCCAAGTAGATCATCGGTGCCTTGTACAAGGACCTCACCATGCCGCACACTTGACGTTGGAGAAGAAGAGTGACACCATGAGCCCCATGTTTTGGCGCTAAGCCTGCGGTGCTGTGCCTTCATGGTCATGCCATTAACGAGATGCTTTGCGTTCCGTAAGCAGTCGAAAAAAGGCGTTGGGAGCAGCATTTAAAAGCGAAGGCAGAAGCATTTTGAAACTGTTGCGCCACATGCTTTTGACTACTCTTGGCCCAGGGATTTGGCTCCAGCAGTGTTCTCACTGGTGCCATGCCATGGCGGCGATGGATACCAGCGTAAGTTTGGCGCAATTCGCTGAGGACGCGCTCCGATATCTTGTGGGACATGCACACATCGAGGATGTTTTTCGTTTGGCCTTCCTTGTTTTGTTTTATCTCTCTCTCTCTCTCTCCCAAATGGCTGCGGCAACCCGTGCGGAGTACCAACATGCGTTGCAGATTTCATGCAGGATGTCCTGTAGGTCATGTCTGGAGGGTGTTCTTGCCCCTTACCCATTTTGCTTTGTGCTGCGCATTGCTAATCTTTGCGACATCCATTGTGATGCAGGACACGACACAGGCCTCCAAAGAGCAGCCAACACAGAAGGAGATCCGCTGTCGACGACTTGTGGCAGAGACTGCCAATCCCAGCTCGCGTTATGCTACTAGTCGATGGTGAGAATCGGCTTTGACCTCCATGTTGCGTTGGTCATGCCAAGACTTTGCTTCGTCCGGTCTCGGAAAGGGCTCTCTCAGTCTTGGAACCCAGGTTGGCAACACACCGAAAGAAGAGCTGCTGCTGGAACACGTGTCCTGATGGAGTTCGCTTAAAGAGCCCCTGTAGATGTTCTCAGCTATGCTTAAAGTTTTGATCAGTGTGGCTGTTACATGAACAGCTCTGTGGTGGCATCCTTTTTTTGGTTGGAAAAGGCTTCATCTTCACCACTTCATCTGGACTCCCCTTGCGCATTCCATGAAACTTAGAGAGGCATAGCCATACAAATGCTGAGAACTCACGTCCAGGTTCGGGAATTTGAAGACCAGTTCGTGAACGTCTACGGCAACCGCTTCCTTTTCCTTTGCCCACCGAACGAGTCCGCAAGCGGCGATTAGCCCCCACTCTGCCATCTTCAGTCCTCAGCCCTCCGAACTCTTCTTCCGAGCCTTTGCCGCGTCACCGGTTTGTGTTTTTTGCGTACGTTTGCGTGTGAACCAGGTATGGGGTGCCCAAGTTCTTGCCGACCACACTGCGACCCACGCAGCTGGGCGGGCAGTCGAGCTGTTGTGGCTGAAGTGTTTTGCAGTGCGCAATGCCAGTCAGCATGCAAAGCCGAGGCACCTCCCGTACCAAGAGATTTACGAGTACAAGTCCTGTGCAAAGTTCCTTGCTGACTTTTTCAATTATGTTCCTTGGCCGCCGACATACGTTACCCACCAAAGCCCAGCAACTTTTGCAGAACCGCGTGGACTTCGGGCCAGGATGAACTCCATCCAGCTGACAGATATCCCACAGTAGTGCCGGCTCCAGCGTCCGTGCTCAACTGGCAGGCCTGCGCCCCTGGGTGGGGTTGTGCAGTGTGCCGCACGTGCTTCTCTTGCTTGTGAACAATGCAGGCTGGGGATTGTTTTGACTTGTCCATTGCGCTTGCCTCCTTGCTGATTGGTGTGGGCTGCTCGTCGATTAGCATCAGGTGGCTTACAGACCTGCTGAGTCTTGTGTTAGACGTCTGCCGCGTACCTTGTGGTTTGCATTGAGGTTACGATGCGTACTGCGTCAGCGGCTTTGCGCCGAGATTCATCACGACCCGCTGCTCGGCCTTACGTAGTCGGCAGGAGCTTTTGCAAATCGGGCCTTTTTGAATTCATCATCTTGACTTTACTCACAGTAGTATGTCCCACGTGAATAGAGATCCCATCTTTAGCACATTGCCTTGAAAGTTGTGTCTTCTCTAAGGCAATGAGGCACGCAGTGCATGCCCACAGCTGGATGCCGATATCGAGGAGACCAAGGAAGAGGACAAGCAGGAGCGTAGCGAATAACGAATGCCTTGCGCCTTGCATGGCCGGTCTGAACGCCTTGAAGACAGTAGTTCAACGACCAGTGTTGCCGCACTCAAGGAACATGTGCTCACGGCGCACCGCGTGGCTCGATGCTCGTGTTTCGCAGTGTCAGCTTTTGGATTCGCAGATGTGTTGTTTGCTCCAATGGGCAGATCTTGCTTGCTGCCCGTGTTTTTTGTTGCTTTGTGTTTCATTGTTTTGTTTTGTATTGTTTTGTTTTGTTTGTTTTGGTTTTGTTTTGTTAAGTTTTGTCTTGTCTTGTCTTGTCTTGTCGTGTCGTGTCATCGTGTCGTGTCGTGTCGTGTCTTGTCTGGTCATGTCGTGTCCAGTCCTGTCCTGTCCTGTGCTGTGCCGTTCTGTTCTGTTTTGTTCTGTTCTGTTTTGTTTTGTTTTGTTTTGTTTTGTTTGAGGTAAGCACTTTCCAGCTAGTTTGAACTGTTGGTGCCAATGTCCTTTGCTACTCATACCCGCTTCAAGCTTCAGCATGGGATCTCTCATCTCCGTCTCCTGTCCTGAGTCTCGTATCTGGAGCTCGCCCAGCACACAAACACGCGTCCGCCGGCCAGAAGTCGTTTCTATGAAATGGGTAGTGCTCTGGAAAGGCTTGCTATCAGGCTAGGTCTGGCAATCTGCGTTGCTGGCTTTAGAGGAGGAGGACGAGTTTGTCATTCCGAAGAAGCCACCGCTGAGGCTGAATCCGAGGGCTCAGCGCAAAACCTCAACTCTGCAGGACGTGCTGCGGGGGTTTTCTAGGTTTTCTAGGCTGCTGCGGCTTAGCTGCCAAGCCATCCTTTTATCCTTTTTGAAGCAGGAGGCTAAGTGGGAACACTGGGTTTCAAGATGGGAGGTAGCTGTGGAACACTGAACCAAATGAAGTCGGTCAAAAACTTCCGAGCAGGTCTGAATACAAGGAGGCAAAGGCCAGGGCAGAGGAGGCGGATCGCATCCGCAGCTCTGCAGCAACTTTGGTTTCGGGGACGCAGCATGGAACGCAGTTTTGAGCATGACACTTCTCATGCTCGTCGAAACCGTTCAGGTCTTGAAGAGGAGGAGATGAAATCGGATTCAGAAGATGATCCGTCCAGTCCCTTTGCTGCTTCAACCTCCAAGAATGTTCAGCACCAGCACAAGCTTGAATGAGGGCGGTGGCGGTGGTGCCAGTGCTATTAGTACAGATGCTATGCAGACAAATTTTTCTGGTTGGAGCGTCGCAAGATTCGCGAAGCCGCAGCACCCAAGGCGACGAGGATGAGTTCGAAAACCGGCGCATCCATTGCTGGGTCTTGGTGCGAAAGGGGTCGCGCGAGGCAGGAAGCGTAAATGGCAGAAAAGGCCCAGTCTGGTATGCCCCCTGCAGGTTGCTGAAGACATGTACCTCGAGCCAACCACCGGCCGCATCTACTCAGTCAGACGATGTCCATACCTCAAGATTGACTTGATCTGGAACCATCGCAATCTTTGGGTCAACATGCAGGCGCTGGCAAAGGGCGGGGGGTTGAGACACATCATGGCTCTGGCCGTAGTATGCCTCGGCAGTTCTCACAAATGCAGGTCTGTGGGGCCTCACACGTCCAGCTCGATTTGTACAACTCCCGCTACTTCGAGTACGTGATGTCAGGGCCCCAGAAGGCCTCCAGAGGTTCATCTCTCAGGTTGGAAACTGGGTTTAGGGTTTAGGGTTTAAGGAGTCCAGTCTGGGTTCAAAAGGGTCTATTAAAAAGGGGCTCTGCAAGATCCAGTGCTTGGTGGTCCCAGCTGATGCTCAGAGTCTGGCTTCAAAAACAGATGCCAGAAAGCAAGGTTGGACGCCGATAATCCCAGCGGCGACTTGGGCAGTGGGCGATACGAGGGTGATGACACAGGTGCGGGTCAAAAGGGGTCAAATCAAAGGTGTGAGGCACAAGGCCTGAACCCGACTCCAGTTGGGCGCCTTCAGCTCGCCAGGCCCTGTGACTGCCGTTCCGTCCTCCGCTGGCAACCTGGACACAGATGAGAGCCGACGGGCCGAGCAAACAGCACAGCCACTTGCTTGCGACTATGCTTGTGACGGAGACGTCGAATGCCTGTTTGTGCGGCATCTATGGCGTTCGGTCGATTTTGGGAGCTGCGTCAGAGTGTCGATAGCCTTGTCAAGCTCGTGATGGTCCCTTTACTGCAGGATCCTGGATCTGCCATCGCCCTGGAGCGAGCGACCGGACATACCCCGTGAAAAATTCCATGCGCGCTGCTTTCAAGGGGACCCTCAGAAGAAGCCAGGGTTTTGTTCTTGTATGTCGGAAGGAATGGCTGACAAACTGAAACCAGAAGGTACTTGTCGCCTCTACAGTGTCTGCAACGGAGTAGAGATCGCAGTTCCTGCAGCACTTGTGGATTCGGCTCCAGATATCAGGAGAAGACCATCTTCTACCACAAGTGCAAGGTCGAGCAGTATGCGCCATACACGCAGGATGACGGCCTGGTGCAGCGCATCACCCTCTACAAGGACCTGGTGTGCTGCTTGAGATTCCCTGTTCTGGGCAAAAGCAGATATCTGTACCTTGGGAACAGGATGTTCGCCGGCAAATCCCACTGGAAATCCGGGAGCGCTTCAAGCACCGGAAAGACAAGCTCTTCGAGCGCAAGCGCCGTCCTATGCAGAATGCACCTTGGCGGGGGAGCTTGGGAATTTTCAAGGGGCGTTTCGTAGGTAAGGACAGTGTTTCTATTTGTTTCGGATCCGAATGAATCCGTAGAACATGGAACATTGTTTGGCCAAGGAGACGCTTGAGCGCTTCCTTCCCGGTCGGCCCTCCACCTCTGCCTCCAATGCGGGTGGTGCCCTGAAGGAGTACCGCGAGGCAGAGGGGCCTTGTTGCAGTTAATCGGCCGGACCTTCCCTTGCAAGCACTCCTTGGTCAGATCAGCGCCCTCAGCCGCGAGCTGATTTTCTACAAGTCCCGCTTGGATGGTCTTGTCCGCTCGGTCGAGATCATTGGCAGGACGTGTTCAGTGTGAGGTCTGTGCAGCTCATTAACTCTGTCTGGGTACAGACTGTGGGAGTACTGGTGCAACATGTGCTGTAGGAATGCGGGGTTCTCGTTCTGAACTTTGGCACTTAGTGCTCTCGTTGCAAGATGAAAAGGATTCAACCTGGATTAGGCTGCGGCTCGCTCAGGGTGCCGGAGTCTTGTGTGTTGGGGTTTCGGGGCTTTCCTTGCTGACTGCACTCTTTTGCGTGGCACACACGTAGGGGGTTTGGGGGGTCCCCCACGTTGGGGAGGAGGGGGGTGGAGACCCTGGTCTGCTTGAATAAGAAAGAATCTGAACTCATGCTGCGCCGGATGCAGGAAGATGTTCGAGTATTTCGAAGACCGTGATGACCGTCTGATCTACCACTCAGCACCTGGACGGCATTTTAAGATTTCGAGCTGTGCAGCAGCGACGCAAAATCTCAAATCCTGGCAGCTTTCGTGAGAAAGGTGCTGTTAAGTACGCTAGGTGACTCTGGATCCTACAGCCATGACAAGCGGCACTCTTCGTGGTGGGCCCAAGAGCAAGGACTGCTGTGGCGGCACAGTTCAGTGCAGGTCCACTAGACCTCGGAAACAGGGCTCAGTCCCCTGCAGACCTCACCCCAATCCCAACAGGAAAAACCGCGGTGTGGGAAGACCTACCCCCAACACCCGATCTCCAACCTCACAGGAACCACAGACTCGTCCACCCGCATCTCATTGTTGTGGTCGTGTACACCCGACTTAGCCGAAACACTAAACCAGCATCTGGCAAAACGAAAGTGGAGAATGCAGTTTATCAACCCCGTTATGACCCTTCGTTTCTCGCCCGAATGTGTTGTCGTGCATTGGCATGGTTACAGGGCTTACATCACATTTCCCGACATGTTGCACTTTCTGACTTTCGCGCAATGTCTTCCAGTCATGGTGTGAGGGTGGTAGGGTTGCGGCGGAGTGAAACATTCTTTATCCTGTATGTTGATATGTTGGCCTTTCTTTCCGACGCCGCCCGCGTGTAATTGCATGGCGAGAACCAGTTGCAGAACACGTTGCAAGGCTGCGAGACACTGTTGCGAAGGGGACACAGCCAGGGCAAAGCCGACCTTGTCTAAAAGGTTGTGCATGTCTTGCATCAACGTCCGATGCTTGGAGCGACATTTTGGCAGAAGTGGGTGGCCAAGGCCAAAACCAAGCCAAAGACAAGCCAATTGTAAACTTGCAATGCGTGGGTTAAGACTTTGGCAAATGTTGGGGAGGGCGGTGGCAGAGCCTCCAAAAATCCGAGCTTTTGAGCAGTTCAAATGTTCTGCGAGGGGAGCATCAGGCAGAATGTAAAGAGCACAGCGTGTGTCAAGGCGAAGATTCGGGCTTGCAACACGTCGGAACATGTCGATTCCCGCAACATGATGGCTTCATCTGCTCAATGTGCCATGTGCCCCGAACTCTTGTGGGGGGGGGGGGCCAACAAAACCCCCCCAAAAAGGTGCATGCATTTGTTCTTGCGGCTCAGAGCAGAATTCTCCGTCGCTGTTCGCCAAAGTCAAGCCGAAAGAAACACCACAAAAGCGTAACTTATAACTAAGCACGTCACCAACCGATTGTCTGTCAAAACGATGGGATGACTTGTTTGCGTGTCCTTGTGAGAGGGAGCGAGAGCACTGCCTTGCAACATTGCCGACTAGAAGGTAGTCAAGCTGGTGTGGGCTGCGTTGCAAGTGCTGATGTCATCTGCGGGTGTTGCTGGCCGCGGCGGCCAGGACACTTATCCTGTCGATTCTGTGGGAGAAGTGCCCATCAAGAAGATGACCCAGAAGTACGCTCGCAATCCAGAGGTTGGGACACGACTCACTCTGGCAGCGCTGAGGATTCACTTCAGGTTTCAAGACATGCTAGACATGCCAGATAGGGTGCCTTGGGCCGACATGAGAGCAGGTGCCTGCTGAGGAGGACATTGCAAAGATAAGCGTCGCGGCTGGAAATTTCTTTTGTGAGATGTAGGCTGCATTGCAGAGGTGTGAGGGCTGCGGGCGCGTTCCCCTTTGTTGTGCATTTTGATCCCTGACCTCGACCTTTGTGCAACATGCAGTCTTTCATGTGGAGATTGACATTGAGGCTTTTATCTGTCCGAGCAAACCTCTACATCGATTTATTCCTCAACGGGAAAGATCCGAGTAGACTACCATCGTGAACCTGGCTCGCTGACTTTTCGAACCTTGTCGGCAAATGGTGTTAGCTCAGAGTGCACCGATCTGTACCGCTGTCACACTCATCGGTCGAGACGTGGCACCAGAGCTGGCGGACCACGTGGGTAGTTTGGAAACCATAGCCCGTGACCCTTTTTGCACAAAGGCCAAGTCATGTACCACTACGAAGACGGCAACCTGCGTCGGCGGCCCTCAAGCTTGCCGCAGCCAACCCAGGCTGGTCATGGCCGGTCTGTAGATCGCTGGTGCACGTTTTCATGACGCCTCGATGCTTCAGGTGCAGGTCCACAAGCTCTTGCAGATGCAGTCCAGTTGCTAGGCTCCCGGACGACCCACCAACTGGTATTTTTGTCAGAGAGTAGCACAAAAGCATACCATTTCCTCCACGATCGCTTTTTCTGGCCAGCATTTTGTCCAATCCCAAGGTCGGGACACCATCATGGCTTCACACACCAGCATCCAGCAGGAATTTTGCTTGTGTGCCGTCCAACATTGTAGGATTGCTACGTCTGCTCAAGATGATAAGATCTATGCGTCACTTTGATCCCGGCATGCAGGAGCTCACCACGCGGCGCAAGGACGAGATTAGCATCCGCGGGATGCGATCTGTGTCAGCGGGAAAGAAGCGTGACCTCACCATTCCAGGCAGGTATTGCCTGGATCCGATCCGGAATCATGAGATGCGGGTCCACGTAGGTGACGAACAGAAGGCCTCAATGCCCCAAGATCCCCAGCCGACAAGGAGCCGCCACAAAGCCTTTCACGAAGCTTCATCAAAACCCACGGCAAGCCAAAGAGGCAGCCGCGACGATGTGTTGGAGCCCTCCGTTTATGACCTTGCCCGCGAGAGTGCTCGTGTGGAAGGCTGGGCTTTTGAATCTCGACCTTTTGTTGCAGCTTTGCTGTGCTTGGCTTCCGAGATCTTCCAAGGCACCAGGGAAGGTGCGGAAGAGGAGAAGCAGGAAGAGCAAACCTCGAAGGCCGCTGCGGCTGCATGGCGGTACTTTGCAGGATAGCCACTGAATGTTCAAGACGCATGCAGGGAGGGGTCGTTTGAACTTGTCTTGGCCTCAGCCCCGTGACTCCCTTGATGTTCCCGAAACTACCTGCAGGGAGTTTCCTTGCAAGATGCATGCGCATTGGGCTTTTGATAAGCTGCAGAGAGTTTCTCTTCGACCTGAAAGCTCAAGGACGTCCTTCCGATCTTAGAGTTCTGAACAACTCAACTTGAAATAACATTACACAGCACAAGCCATCAAGCGTCCAAATCTGCAAATCCTGTTCAATCTCGACACCATCGTGCCGACCTGGTCTTTCAGGTGGACATCCTCGCACCCTATCTGGTGGATTTCATCAACAAGGAGCCTTTGCTCTTCTAAGCACTCAAGTAAAGGTGATTTTTAGTAGTGTGGTTGTTGAATGGACGGGACTTCGGGGTTTCTCAAATCATGGGAGCCTCGTGCGCTGCTGCGCAGTCCTGGCTGATCATAACGATGGTGGGGTCAGGCCCCGGTTGCTGTTTCATGGCCTGATGCAACGAGACCCCCCTGTACAGCTCGGAGCACTGACGTCTTCGTGAGATTCTTATTTCGTAGATGTTGGCTTTCGGTGCCCGAGCGCACTTTAGGGGTCGAGAGGTGCATTCTTTTGTTTTGTCTCCAGGTACCGTGCCAACCGTGCCCCTTTCAGGGTCTCTGAACTTGGAGGATTGTGACCGTCTGCTTTCTCCCAAGAGACCAAAGTCGTCACGGTAAATGGGAGTCTGCGCGGCTCCACACAACGACATGAGGCAGGCAGGCATCCTCGCTGCACTTTACCGGTGCCTGCCGGTAGACTTGGAACCCTTAACCCGAAAAGACCGACGCTCTTGAGAGCGAAAGCACTGGGCGCCGAAGCCCTCTGACGCCCTTCGACGCTTGGAGGAGACCGGTCTTGTTCAGCTCGACTCGCTCCAGGCATTCCCAGGGGGCGATATGAGGATGAGAGAAGATTTTGTGTTCCATTTTCAATGTAAACCCGTTGAGACGATGACGATGTCGATTCTGCCAGGCAGAGCTCGTGGCCAAGAAGTGTACCACGGACTTCCGCTTCCTCGGCTCGGGTTATATGTGCATTCCCAGGTCGTGGGTCGAGTTCGCTAGCCCTGATGGTCCCGCCTGAAGCATCTCGAGCACTTTTAGTCAGCATCATAACACGATGTTCGTGGTATCATGCACCAACTGATCACTAGTATGACGGTATAGGAGGACCCAAATATGACGGCATGACACGTGCGAGACCCAAAACAACCCAGTGCTCAGTATCCTGTTCAGGTTTACCTCTAACAAAGAGCCCCGACGTCAGCCAAGTGCTGCAGTAGTTGTGGCCCATGCACAAGTAAATCCTCTCCATATCTGAAAGCGGATGTCTGATGCCCTTGTTTGTTCGCAGAAATTTTCTTGGGTAGGCCCCGGTCCTGTCGCACTCTTCATCCAGACTCCCTTGCCAGGCAAGCGCCTGACAGACAGAGCGGAGATCATCCAGCGTCGCTTGGAGGACATGCTTTCTTCAGAAAGGTCGGCCCCTAGGCCTTAAGAGGTTGGGTCCTGGTCTCCCATGGTGTGAACGTGCAGATGAGAAGTTGTGTGTCAAAGACCCAAATGATGGCTTCCGCGGCTGAGAGGGAATCGGGAGCCTTGGTCCGGGGCACAGGGTTCCTAAAATACTGCGCCAGCTGCATTCGCGTAAATGTAAAGCACTCGCAACCCACAGAGGTGAAGTTACATCTTAGCCTAGACAGGAAAGATTGTCGAGGTTTCTTGACAATCTGACAAAAGTGGATTTCTTCAAAAATGTTACTATTATGATTTTTATTATCATGATCATTATACAATGTACCCATGGCTTTCAGGAGGAGCAGGAGCTGCTCCGTAAGCGGCGGGCGCAGATGCAGTGCCGAGGGGACAGCGTGGAGCGGGATGAGCGGGATTTCGAGCAGTGCCCTGCCATTTTTAGGTCCTCTTCATGTTTGCGCATTGGGGGGGGGGGGGGTGGGGCGCTGGTGTCGTTTGATCTGCTGCGCCGCAAAAACTAGTGGCCAGCAGATGTTCTGTTTTGCGCTGCAAGGTACCAGAATCAAGCCATGTTTCGAACACAGATTCTGGAGCAGCGGCTGGCTCGACATGAGATGCAAGCTATTGAGAAGTTCCAGGACGCTGCTTTCAGAGACCCGTTTGAGGCTTGCGTCTTGATGGAGGGTGACATGGGGCACAGGGTAGCCGCAAAGAGGTATGACACAGGGCTTTCTTGCGTCTGGGTTTAGATTCAAAGCTTGTCTGGTAAAGGCGCAGCTCCTCCGTGCCCTTAGGACCTCGAGAGGATGCTGCAGGAAGACCCTCGCCTTGCGGCGATGTGGCAGAAGGAGCACAGCGACATGCGCCGACCCATAACACAGCATGAGACCCATGGAAACCTATTGGACCTGGTCTGTTCATTTGGCAAATCTTTCGCTTAGCCCTAGCGCACCACGGATTTGAGACCCAGTGACCCGCCTTTTGAAAGGAGCCCGCGGCAGTGAAAGGCTGATCATGTAGCTAGGGGCACCAGGGCACGCAACGGGGCATGGCTGGAATAAGGAGGCAGCAAACACGGCAAAACATGGAAAACCTGTCGTGCTTTGTTTCTTGCCCTTGCATGCGATTCCTTTTTGTGCTGGATACAATGTCTGCACACTGGAGCCTGCTAAAAGGCAGCATGCCAGTTTTGCCATGCAAGACAGCGCTGTGGGTATAGTCGTATCGTCCATCGTTTCACCTGCTCTCACCGTACCTGTTCAAAAGGGGCACAACTCGCTTCTTGGAGCAGTTGCTGCACGGCGACACGGCTTCCTAGACATGCCAGTCGGCAGTCGGGGAAAATGTGGCACATGAGTCTTGTTGTGACTCGGAAGACATGTCAGTTTAAGTTTTTTTGATCCATGGTACAGCGTCGATCATGTAGCTCACAAGTCTTGTGAGTCTTGTGATTGGGTGGAGTGCGTCTTGCATCATTGGCAGCCTCATGTTCGCAAGTCGTTTAGGTCGCCACGGGCTTCCGGCTCAAGGATTATGCTGTCAAACCGAATGGGTTTGTACGGGAAGTTCCAAGACGTTGCTCTCATCTTAAAGTTCCTAATCTTTATCTTCCTAGTCTTTGTTTGGCAACGTTGTCCACATTTAACAATCCTGGCAAGGGACGTAAAGCAATGTGTCCTCTCATGTTGCCTTGGCCTTCTAGCTTACACATTTCGGTTGTTGGGCACAAAGTGGTTTCAAAGCAGGCTAGCTGAACAGAATGGGTTGATCATGGCAACAGACTGAACATGTGGCTTGCGATGGGATTTGTTGTGTATTTGGGTCTTATCCTGGTTGTCTAACTATGTCAACGTGCTCTTCTTGATTCCGGCTGCACTGAAACACGGTCCCGGTCCCAGCATCAATCATTTGCAACCCATGGAGTTCGACCCGTTTGGGACCAGCAGTGGCCATGCATACTATCAGTTGTGCCCCGAGGGTTTTGGAGGTTTGCACAGAGTGTAAGTAGCCTTAGCCCGCAGAGGATTCGCACCTTGTTTTTGTTTTGTGCTCACCACAGCGAACTGACCCACTTGTGGCTGGAACAACCGAGGCTTGAGCTTACAGTTGTACGGCGGATGTTTTTTCCATGTTTTTCGCGTAATGTCTGCTGCAGTCGCTCTTGTAGTCTTGTTCTATTCACCCTTTACTTGAACCTTCCACATTTTGATTGAAGCTTGGCCTAAGACAGCTCATTCGTTGAAATCGACTTGTTTGATCGTGGCGTGCAGACCGTTTAGAGCTATACGTGCACGACGAAGGTGCATCCGCCGGCCACAGTCTCAGATTCGGAAGTGGGCATGTTTGGTTCCCGTTGCCACAAACTGGCGCCACGACCTAAGGCTTCTACAAAGATGTGGTCCTGCCTCGAAGGCTTGAGCAGCTGGTCGAGGCTTGTCGCGGATCGAGCTGTGCCAACAGCGACAATTGCGTGCTTCGTCGCAGGTCTGCACCAGATGCTTTCAGTGCGAGAACCAGCTGGAGCGAGGAGGAGGAGGATGAGGAGGAGTGGATCGCTGGAGCGCTTCCCAAACGTTGGAGCTGAGGTTTTCGGGGCGGGTGTGCTGCAGGACCAAATTTGGGAGGAGCACCTAGACAGGATCATCAACGAGGCCCACTTGCAGACTGGGCTTGAACTCGCTGTGAGACGGGCTTGAATCAGACCCAGACCGAGAAGAGAAGTTCAACGAAGATCTGCTCGGTTTTCTTTCTGGAGTAGAGGAACCTTCTGGCACGTAGGCCTTCCCCTTGGTACACTCAGCCTCAAGTCTGTAACTCGGAGGAGTCCACGTCAGCTTCGCTCTTTCATTCTTTCATCGATCCGCGGTTTCATGCCTTGGCTCGGCTTGTTTTGCTGGAAAGTGGCGCAGGTGCTCCTGACGGAAGTTGCCAGACTCCGTGCCGCGTTTATTCAACGCTTGCGAGAGCACGAGGCCGTAGACGGAGTTTCCTTGTCATGTCATGGGTGAGACGCTTAGTTTGGCCGAGTGAGGCACCTAGGCTTGATTTTCCTTCAAGATCCTGGAAGGTTGCTCTGTCGCAGCTTCGGTCTGAGAGTGGCTTACCCCATCCGTTTGATCCTCAGCAGGGTGGTGTCACACTGCAAACAAGTCGAATGCCCATCAGGTGATCAAGGTCAGCAGCACTGGCTTGCAAGTGCTTATAGGCCTCCAAAACCTGCTTGGATCCCGTACACTGGGGCCTGTCTATTCTCGCACTCTTATGCCAGTACTTCGGCACGGGGATCAACTCAAGGACTGGCTAAGCATTTTGTGCGTGGCCGCCTTCGCGTGTTTCGGAAGACACGAGATTTCGTTGGCTTGAAGCGTCACGCGCCGGCTGGAACTCGACACAGGTAGCATTCAGTACAGCGTCTGTTGCACGTACCGCTGGGTAGCTGCAGAGGCGTATTTTCTTTGCTACAATGACAACCTCAGAAACGAAGCATGGTGTTGTTCAAGAGTTGAAAAAGGCGCCCCATGGAGCTGTCTTCGTATCGGCCTGTTCCATTGTGCCAGGATTTAACAGGCTCCAGCGCGCCGCTGCGCCTGCAACGATGTAGGGTGCACTGAAAAACACACATGCCTTGCAAGGTTCAGATCGGACACACCAAGATATCCCCGTCATGGTTGGCTCTGGAGAGATCCATCAGTTTCCATTTCATCGGTGCAAGAGGCTCTGGAGACTCCTCTTTGGGTTTTGGAAGCGGGAAGCTGCCTGGGTGCAGCAGCTGGCTAGGACTCAGGACCAAGAGCGGTTTGCAGGATTCTGGTTGCAGGGACGGGTGGCTTTCTCTCATGAGTTGGCGTATGGGTTGAAGGGGAGACGGTGAGCAACGGCGTTGAAAAGAGACGAACAAGTGCTGCGCCGAGGTGGGCCCAGCAGGACATTGAGATCCTCAGGCAGCAGGCTTCGCCGCGCGTTCAAGCAGGTCTACATTCGTCCGAGCGTCGAAATGTCTAAGGTGCTAATTATGGAGAAGCAGGGACGACATCGAAGTTTTCAAGCTCGAAAGCTGCGAAAGGCTTCTGGATTGAATGTCAACAGATGTATCACTTTGATTCTGGTCTCAAGTGCACTGAGAGGCAATGAAAGAGGTAAGAAGTGCCTTTGCTACAGAGACATCGGCAGCTGTTCAGGAGCCTTGCGTTCTTGGCACGCACGTCGGCTTGCCAGTTGGATTTTGAGACTTGAAAACTTAGTGATGCAGGGGCACTTGGGCGCGAAGCAGTTGTTGGACGAGGCTGGCCCATGCCTTCCAATGCCGCAAGCACCTGCCAAGGGGGCTACATGATCCGAGGTCAGGGCTGAGCGCGAGCGGCGCCTCGCCGAAAAGCATTACTTGGAGGACTCCTAGCAGATGATGCATCACGAACGTGCAACTTACATGGTCGGCTCTCACGGAACGAGATGAATTGAACGACATGACCACTGGGAGTGTGTGGTGTGTGGACAGGTCTGAACTGAGACATATCCCGATCATATCCCAGATAAAGTGGCGGAATCTAGTACACGTCGCTAGCTTTGATTGAAGCGAGGGGAAGTAGAAGATTTGGATGGACGGGGTGAGGTGGAGAATGGGGGTCGACGGCAGCAAGCCCGCCCGTCTCGGTGCTGTTGCGCAAACACTTGCTCTCTCTTGCTGTCCAGCGTGTTGGAAGTCGATTGCCTCTTGTATTCCTCAGCAATCCGGGATGCAGGACCTCAGGATGCTCGAGCCACTTACCTAGCGGAAGCACATGTTGCTAGTGCAATGAAGATGTTCCTCCCTTTCGTTTCGTTTGGGTAGCGAAGGTGGGCACGCTTTGGGTCGGAGGGTTTCGGATGACTTTAGCTTGAGGGTTCCTGGAAAGAGCTGGCAGAAGAGTGGCCAGGACCAGATCAAGAAGTTGACTGGCGAGCTGGAGGACATATGCAAGCTTTGTGCTAGGGCGAAACAGGTGACACTGCTGCCCCAGCTGATGGCTGACATGTTGTTTAATGAAGAGGAGCAGCGCAGTGCTGCCCCAGCTGTGGATCACGAGAAGGAGAAACTCAAAGCTGCCGTCGAGCTCTTGGGGCAAACTTCTCGCGATAAGCCGAACATCTTCTTAGCATGACAACTAGACATTCGAGCCGTGTGCAGATCTGCTAGGAGACGGTTTTTTCGTGGCTTGTTGCCAAGATTCCTGCCCTTCCAGGTCAGGCAGCTCAAAATGTCCATCGAAGCGAAGGACCGATATGCCTGCTGGGTGCGTTCCTCAAGTGTTTGCTTCTCGCTGACGTTCGAGCATCGTTCTTCGAATTCCACCAGAAAAGAGGTGTGCAATCGTGCTCATGAGCGGCAAGAGGATGGTGCAGGTTCTGAAACTGGAGAGGCCAGTGATGTAAGGTGTGTGCGTGTTGCGTGTTGTCTTTGCGTGTGTGCGTGTCCCTCTCTCTCTCTCTCTCTTTCTCTCCGTCTCTTCCTCTTTCTCTCTCCCTCTCTGTCGCTCGCTCCCTCTTCATGAATGGCGCCAGTATTTTGCTTAAAAAGGTTTCACATGCCCAAACATGCCTACTTTGCCCTTGCACCATGCGGCTCGTTGTGTGAAGGAGTCGGACCACCATGAAGATGAATGCATAATGATGCGCAGGCTGCTTCGCATCATGCATTCTTTTTGAACGCGTTTTAGCTTTTCTCTGCTCTTGTACATGCAAAGTGCCCTCCATGTCTGTGTGCACGCATCACAAGAAGCCAGGCGCTTGAAGGAAATGGAGGAAGAGCTCCATGTGTTGACTGGCTTCCGCAGTGCCGCAGGTGCCGCAGTCTGGCCGCTGGCTTTGTGTATGTGTGCATGTATGTATGTATGTGTGAATGTGTGTATGTGTGTGTGTGTGTGCGCGCACGTTTGTGGCCTTGCTGCAGGTGCTGAGCCTGCCACCCCGAGCCCTGCGACTCTGCAGGCTTTGATTCTCATGGGCTCAATGGATCAGCAAATTCTCAACAAGTCG